ATTTTAGCGATGTGGAGACTTACTCAGAGAGGTGACATCACTTGCCCAAGGCCACATAGCTAGTATGTAGCCACTACCTTTGCTCCTCCCAGAGGAGTGTAGCAGAGTTTCAGAGCACAGACGAGCTAGAATGCCTGAAGTTCAGCTCCTGGCTCTGCCCCTGCCAGCTGTGTGACCTGAAGTGCCTGTTTCCTAATATGTAAATGGAAATAATGCAGTAAGAAAACATACCTCATAGGGTTGTCACATGGATTAAAGAAGGTGATCTATGTAAAGGGCTTAAAGAGTGCCTGGCATAGAATAATTACTATGTATATGTAGACGGTAGCTATTATTACTGCCATCTAGCTTTCATGGCCCACTCAAATGCCACCTCTTCTTTGAAGCCTTTCCTGATCCTCCCTTCTCCAGCCTGATGGATTGCTCCCTCGTAGCACTCCAGCTGCCCTCCTTCCAATGCCTTTTAAGTGATGTGCTTGTGAGTCCTCCAAGAGCAGCAGCTTGGTCCGACTCTCTACAGTGCCTAGCATGGTGCTGAGAAGCATCTGCTGTCAGTCTGGGTGCCAGGCCTGTCTGCCTTGACCCTGACCCTGATCCCCCAACCCCAGGGGTCCTTCTTCCCCCTGGCCGAGGGGAACTGGAGCCTCCCCAACCGGGCTGTGGAGCCCCAGCTGCAGGAGGAGGAACGGATGGTGTACGTGGCCTTCTCTGAGTTCTTCTTTGACTCTGCTATGGAAAGCTACTTCCGGGCGGGGGCCCTGCAGCTGTCACTGGTGGGGGACAAGGTATGCCAGGGCCTGTTTGTGGGATGGGCAAGAGGGGGCCCATGATGGAGCTCCTGATGACCCTGCCTCACTCCCAATTTCACTGTTCAGGTTCCCCACGATCTGGACATGCTGCTGAGGGCCACCTACTTTGGGAGCATCGTCCTACTGGTGAGCATTGGTGGGAGGTAGGGATCTGGTCAGGGTTGGGGGATACGCGACCTACACATCAGTGAGGGGACCAGTGGGTTGCAGGTGAAGGCCCCCAGTGGCAGCCATGTAGGAGACAGAAGGCCTGGCCTCTTACCTGTGGCCTGGTCCCCTTACCTTGCCACACCTGTTTCCAAGTCTATGAAAGTAGGTTGTTACTTCCCACTCTGTCTCCTTCACAGAGCTGTTGTGAGGATGGTAGAGAACCCGAGCTTGGCAAATATAGGAGCTTTAATAATGATTAATGTATTCTTCTCTTATTTCCTTTGTTTGATGGGGAGAGGCATGGGAGTTAAAAATTTTTGAAAAAATACTTGCTATCATTAAAGGACATGTCCTTGGTTCAATTTTGTAAATGATAGAGCAGGAATTTGAACCTGGATTTGAATCTGTGTAATTCCAGGTCACACTTGCTTTCTCCTCTGCACTACATGGCCTCACGAGGTTGTCATGAGAAAGAAATGAATTAGTACATGTAAAGTAATCAGAACAGCAACTGATACAGAATAAGTGCTAAGTTAGCACTAGCTGCTATTATTATTGCCATTGTCATCATCAAACTTATAGCCAAAAAGAAAAAAAAAAACACTTGTTGCCAAGCAGTTAAGAGCATGGACTCTATTGCTAGACTGCCTGGGTTCGAATCCCAGTTCTGCAAATGAGTAACTACATAAGTTACTTAATCTTTCTGTGCCTCAATGTCCCCATCTCAAAAAAGGAGATAGCAAGAACAAAAAAGAAAGAATAAAAAAAAGAGAGAGAAAAGAAAAATGGGGATAACAATAATACCTGACTCACATGGTTGTTATGAGGTTTAAATGAGCTAACATATGCCGTGAAGAGTAAGCCCTTGAACGTGATAGGATTCCTTCGCTGCCTGCAGGAGAAATAGCACAACAGTTTAGAGAAAGGAGATGTGGCAAAGGGCTGGGACATTAATGCAGAAAGGCTGTCCCTGAGGAGTCTGGATTGGAGATGACTCTGAATATTGAGGAGAATTTAGGAAAGCAGAAGGAGAAGGAAGGAGGCTTTGTGTGGGCAAAGGCACAAGGCTGGACCCAGATCTGAAGGGTCGTGGAAGCCAAACTTGTCTTTGTATTTGCAATCTCTGGGCTCAGAGGGCAGAGACTGAGTCACACTTCCTTTCCCTTCCACCCTGGGGACTGATGAGGGAACAGAGCCCTGACTGCCCTCCCTACTCTGTCCGCAGAGCCCGGCAGTGATTGACTCTCCACTGAAGCTGGAGCTGCAGGCCACAGCCCCTCCACGCTGCACCATCAAGCCCTCGGGCACCACCATCTCCGTCACTGCCAGTGTCACCATCGCCCTGGTTCCACCTGACCAGCCCGAAGTCCAGCTGTCCAGCATGATCATGGTGTGGGCCCCAGAGTGGGGGCTGCCAGGAGTCAGGGAGAACTGGGCTGTAGACCTTTCGGGTCCATAACACCCCCTCCCCACCTTCCCACAGGATGCCCGACTCAGCGCCAAGATGGCTCTCCGGGGGAAGGCTCTGCGCACGCAGCTGGACCTGCGCAGGTATGCAGATGGCCGAGGATCCTGAGCAAGTCCCTAACCCCTCTGTGCCTCAATGTCACCAGGATAACCACACCTGCCCAAAAGAACACTGGAGCTAAAAGTCAGTCATACCTATAAGTCTCTGGAGAGCTGGTGTCTGTCTTTGCTAATGTGTACAAAAGTGCGTTATTAAAGTGTAACTCCTCTGCGTTCTCTCACCACCCAGAGGCAGACAGAGCAGGTATTAAGAGAGACAAGGGAATGGGTCCAGCAAGGTTAAATGACATGCCCACAGTCACACAGCAGAGGATAAGAGTGGGGGTTTCAGCAGAAACCTCAGCACAGCATAGCTTTGTGATCTTGAGGCAAGTTATTTTATCTTTCTAAGCCTCTTTTTCTTATTATTATAAATACCAGTAAAAGGAGCATCTACTTTCAAGGGCTGTGCTGTCCGATATGGTAGACTCTAGCCACATGTGACCATTTACACTTAAATTAATTATAGGGCTGGCCAGTTAGCTCAGTTGGCTAGAGCACAGCCTTTTAACATCAAGGTCATGGGTTTGGATCCCCAAAACAGCCAGCCACAAAAAACAAAACAAAAAAATTAATTATAATTAAATAATTCCTCAGTTGCACTAAGCCACATTTCATTGTCATATTTAGCTTGTGGCTACCACAGTGGACAATACAGATACAGAACATTTCACAGAAAGTTCTATTGGACAGTGCTATTCTATGGAGTTAAATGAGAATATGCAGGGTAGTAAAGAGCCTAGATTCTAGAGGCAGGTTCTGACAACAGCTGTGTGACCGTAGGCAAATTATTTAACCTCTCTGGGCCTCATTTACCTTATCTATAAAGTACAAATCATAGTGCCTACTTCTCAGGGTTGTTATGAAGACTAAATCAGTTGGTATTTTAAAAAAAAAATTTTTTTTCTTTTAAAAATGACCGGTAAGGGGATCTTAACCCTTGGCTTGGTGTTGTCAGCACCACGCTCACCCAGTGAGCGAACCGGCCATCCCTATGTGGGACCTGAACCCGTGGCCTTGGTGTTATCAGCACCACACTCTCCTGAGTGAGCCATGGGCCGGCCCCTAAAATATTTTAATAATATTTAACTTTTTGTTAACAGGCATAGTATCTGACAGGGAGTAAACCCTGTGAGTTTTGTTAAGTAAAACAATACCCGCAAAGCTACTAGAAGCCTGGCATATACAAGTGCTCAACAAATGGAAAGTAGCAGACTTGGGGAAAAGGAGACCCAAAGAGGGAGACATGACTCACCCAAGGATACACACCTGGAAAGTGGTAGCACCACCTGGACAGGTGTATAGATGGGACATCAAAGACTGAAACTCAGGGACCTCTGGTGGGTAGGCCTCTGTGGCCTGAGGAAGGGGGAAGTTCCAGGCTTCATGCCCACTGGGCTCTTTTCTTTCCTGCAGGTTCCGAATCTACTCAAACCAGTCTGCACTGGAGTCTCTGGCAGTGAGTTGGAAATGGTGGGTAGGCCAGGGCTGGGGTTAGGAGTGGGTAGCTAAGGTGAGCCCACCACTTGCTGCCCTGTCTTTACCCCTCCTCCCTCCCAGCTGATCCCGCTGCAGGCTCCTCTGAAGACCATGCTACAGATTGGGGTGATGCCCATGCTTAATGGTAGGGTTGGGGGTTGTGAGGAGGGAAGAGTAAAGGCGGGGGGGAGCTGGGTGGGCCCAGACCAAGCCAACTGCTCCCACCCACAGAGCGGACCTGGCGTGGTGTGCAGATCCCGCTACCTGAGGGTATCAACTTTGTTCGCGAGGTGGTGATGAACCATGCGGTGAGTGGCGGCATGATGCGTAAGCAGGGCAGAGCCTTCTCTATAGCTCCCCAGTACCCTCCATGACTTGACCCCAGCTCCTCCCTTACCAATTGCCCCTCCCATTTTAATCTGACATCATACTCTTCCAGCCCTTTCCACAGGCCATGACTTCTTGGAACACTCTTCTCCAATATCATCCCAACACCTGCTAATCTTTTGGGTTTTAGCTAGGTGATTACCTCCTCCAGGAAGCCCTCCCTGATGCCCAGTCTCTGCTCCTACGGTCTCTGTTTTAACACCCTTGACATGGAATTATGAGAACTGCTTTGCTGCTCCATCTCTCCCACTAGATTGAGAACTCTTCAAGGCCAAGAACTCTGTCTCTTTCTCTCTAAACTCTGGCCTTGGTAACTGAATGAATAGATAAGACTTCCCTCTCTGCCCCACTGCACAGGGCTTCCTCACCATCGGGGCTGACCTCCACTTTGCCAAAGGGCTGCGAGAAGTGATTGAGAAGAATCGGCCTGCCAACGCCAGGGACCCTTGGCCATCTAGTGCCCCCCCGTCCTCCACAGCAGCTGTGTGAACCCTCAGTCCCTACCCTGACGGCTGCCATTCAGGATTCCAGCCCCTCTTAACCCCTTCCTCTCCCCCATCGCAGTCTGTACTGTCCCTGCTAACCCCCAGTGCCACAGAGAAGACGGGGTTTGAAGCTGTACTCAATTTAATTCCATTATCAGTCAATCCATCGATTAGTCTGTCCACTCCCCCCAACCCTGAGGGGCTGTCCTGAGCTGCTCTGTTGGGTTCCTGGGATAGGATCAGTGCACCAGGGCATTCTTTAAGCAACGAGGGGCCAGGGACTGCTGTGGGAATAAAGTGCTAACTTGCCCATAGGCTGTCTGTGAGGCACTGAGGCCCAGTCTGGGGTGCATGGGGCTGTGGGAAGTGGAGGGGCAGTTCTGAGGGCAGGGACCTGCCCCGCAGGTGCATTTTCTATAAAGAAGGACATTCCTCCTAGGAGGAGAGGTGCTCAATCAGGAAGTGGGGAGCTGGTCCCTGTCCTCATCAGTATGGCTCCTTGTTGAGGAAGCGGGAGAACATGGTGAAAGCAGCTTCAGGCTTGTCGGTGGGGACCATGTGTCCGGCGCCCTGAGAGGCAAAGCTTTGTAAGATTCTGACCCTCACCCTTCCTTCCCTATGGAACCCCCCACCCCAGGCACTTCCTTCCAAGCCTTTTATTCTTCCTACCTGCCCTGCCCCCCAAAATTTGCCCTTACAGGGGCCAGATGGTAACCCAGCATAAAAGAAAGCTGGAGGGAAAGGCTAGGTGGGCACTGGCCTCAGTCATCCCTCCCCAGGCCCAGGCCCTACCTTGATAGTGAGAAAGGCAATGTGGGAGAACTCCTTCACGAAGCCAGCGATCTGCTCCCCGCTCTCCCCGTAGTTCACTAGCCAGGGCCGGCGCTGCACCTCCATCTGCCCCACAGGAAAGACACCAGCCTACAGCAACCCCATCATCCCTCCTCACAGCTGCCAGCAAGACCTCAGAGACTGGGAACTACTCTGCAGGTTTGCCCTCTGTTGGCCAGAGCCAAGCAGCCAACCACTCCTAGGGTCAACCGCCAGCTACCCCTACACCCAGCCTTATCCAGGGTCAGGAATCCCTGCCTTACCTTCTGGTTAAGGGAATCCACAAACCACTCATCTCCCATGAAATTGCAGGCCATGTCCACATCTCCATTGTATATTAGGATCTTGTATCTCTAGAGCAGAAGAGGTGGAAAAATGAGGGGTCTGGTACAAGCCCAGACTCCAGCCCTTCCCCTGTTTGAGCCCTACCCTTCAGGGATTCAAGAGGTCCAGCCAAATGGTATGAACCAGGAAATTCTCATGTTTTCTGGCTGTTTACTACATGTCCAGTGCTCTAATGAACGCTTTACTTAGTAAGGTAGATACCATTATTTATTTATTTATTTATTTATTTTTTCCTTTTTGTCTTTTTTCGTGTCCGGCAACGGATCGCAACCCTCAGTGTTGCCCCTGTACCGGACCAGGACCGGCAACGGGATCGCAACCCTCGGTGTTGCTCCCACACCTCGCTCAGCCAGTGAGCGGGAACCGGTCTGTATGTGGGATCCGAACCCTCGGCGGGAGCGCCGCCACACTCCCAAGCGGCGCACTGTAGCAGTGCGCCACCGGGCCAGCCCTAGATACCATTATTATCCCCATTTTACAGATGGGGAAACTGAGGCTCAAGGCATTTAAGAAACTTGCCCAGGGTCACATGGTTAGTAAAGGGACTTGCACCCAGGTATTCTTACTCCAGAGCCCATGCTCTTAACCACTGTGTTAACCTGGCTCTGCCAGTGCTTCCTCCATGACCCTGGACAAAGTTCTCTCCCAAGCTGGTCCTCCATTTGCCCATTGTGACATGATCCAATAAGCTCTTCTCACTCTAAAGTCTCCTTGGCAGACCCCTTGGTCTCCTACAGCAGAGCAGCATGGAATGGGGACAAGCCTGGATTCAAATCCTGACCCTGCCAACCACAGGACCTTGGGCAAGTAATTTCACCTCTTAGAGTTCTGGCTTCTCATGTCCTGAGGTGGGTTGTAAAGGGGCCCCCTGAAGGGGTAGCCTTTAGAGTGAGAAGAGCTTGTTGGATCATGTCACAATGGGCAAATGGAGGACCAGCTTGGGAGAGAGCTTTGTCCAGGGTCATATAGGAGGCACTGGCAGAGCTGTTAGGTTAGGACCAGGTTAGCACAGTGGTTAAGAGCATGGGCTCTGGAGTAAGAATGCTGTACTACTCCAGGGTTGTAAGGCTGCTGGTGGATCCAGCTGTGCTGCCCCACTCACCTGTGAGGCAAGCAGCTTCAGGTACTGGGAGTTCATGTTTTGGTACAGACGGCGGTACTGTATATTCACCAGGAAGCTGCCGGGAGCACGTGGGCAGGCCCCAGGAAGACCAGGTAGAGGGGAAAAAGAGTCAACAGATTAGACCTTCTCTCCTATCCCCAAGCTCTAGCCTAGGAGGCAGACAGGGTTTCAGTCCCTCTTTGGGTATGTCACCTCTCTATGACTCACCTGGACGGGGGCTGGAATTCAGAGATCAAGCCACCCCCATTTAGAAATGTATAGGAACACTTTTTGGTTGTTACAATGACTGAGATGCAACTGGCATTTAGTGCCCAGGGGCAAGCAGGTGCCAGAGTCACAACATATAACAACAGGTTAGAGCGTGGGCACTGACCAATCAGAACAGAACTGAGTGGTCCGTGCTATGCCAGGCATCAGCCTTTTACTCATGGGGGTCATAGGAGATCTGAGCAGCTGTGGATTGTATTGGAGTGGGGGTTGGGACAGTATCTGTCTATTTACTAAATGCCATGGAAGTAATTGATATCAACAACCAGTGTGGCCATTTAAGAATGAATTGGCTGAATATCAATAAACTTAGGGGTCAGGGATGGTACAATCCTACACAACTTATTTTCATGCCCCAAACGCCCATTGTGCCCCCACTGAAACCCTAGCCAAAGGATCTCTGGGAACCTTTCGATGCCCACAAGCCCAACAGCCTGTCACCCCGAGCCCTGCATGTCCACAGAACCTCACTTGCACATGTCCCAGTGGGGCAGCTGCTCGGGGATGTGGAGGGCCTTCCGCACATAAGGGTTGTTGAGGTAGGTGGAGGCAGCTGTGGTGTTGGTGCAGGGAGGGTCCATGCGCACCCTGTCCCCAGAACGCAGCAGTAGTGCCTGAGGGGCACAGACAGAAAGTCAGGGTCTTTGCTTCCCTGCCTCACCCCATCCCACCTGGAGGAAGCCCGTGCCCTTGCACACCAGATGCCATGTTTTCTTGATTGGCAGGCGAGTGAAGATGTTGCCAAAATCCTGGACCACAAGTGTGTTCTCCTCATACCTGCAAGTAAAGTCGGGGGGATGGGTGCTGAGCCTCCAGACAGAACTGGGGTTGGCCCATGGGGCACACAGCAGCACCTACCTTAAATGGCCGGGCACCCCCCCAGCACATGGGGCATAGAGGTTGTAGATGTTGAGGCCGGAGTTGCTCACGATGCGGGACACTTCCTGAAGCTGCAATGAGACACCGAGCCACCATGCTTTACAGATCCCGGGCATCTCCATGACCTCACTAACTTGTCCCAATATTTACTGCTTTCCTACTTCACCTCTTGTCATCACCCTTCACCCCATGTTTTTCACAGGCAGGGCACCTGAGGCCCAGTGGAAGGAATCTTCCAGACCTGGGTCCATATCCTAGCACCACTCTTTCTAGCACTGTGACTTCAGGCAAGTGACTACAAAATCCCTGGCTTCATGTTTCCTCATCTCCCTTGAAGGAGAATCTTGAAGATTATTAAATAATCAGTATAGACATAGCTCAGCACAGGGCCCGGCCCATAGCAGGTGTTTGATAAATGTGAAGTCCTTTTCCCCTTGTAGGGGTAATAGGATTTGCCTAAAAAGTCAGTGGAAGTGGTGATAGTAGGAGTACACACATAGACAAGTGTCCCAGGGAAAAAATTGCTGAACGGTGCAGGATAGGAAAGCAATGGGAAATGAAGGAAAGGGAGTCCCCAAGAAGGGGATGTGGTCCTGTTCTCAGAATTAAGGGTACTAGGCCGGCCCGGTGGCACACTGCTACAGTGCGCCGCTTGGGAGCGCGGTGGCGCTCCCGCCGAGCGTTCGGATCCCACATACAGACCGGTTCCCGCTCACTGGCTGAGCGAGGTGCGGGTGCAACACCGAGGGTTGCGATCCCGTTGCCGGACACGAAAAAAGACAAAAAAAAAAAAAGAATTAAGGGTACTAGGATTGATGCAAAGTGGGGGAGAACCTCACACTGGTCACGCATTCCGGGTCTTTGCTGTCATAGAAGTTACACTTGTTTTGAGAGCAGCAGTGGGTCTGGAGGGAAGACCAGAGCCTGTAGAAGATCAGAGTGAAAAGTGCTTAGGCCCATGGTGGGCAGTGGGTGGGAACATTCCACCTGTAACCTCTTATCAGGACTTGACCCCAGGGGACTAGGCAAGATATCACAAGATGTGGCATGTAGGTCACCCAACCTAGCTCCCAAAGAAGCTGCCCCAGAGCCACATAGATAGCCCTCCTTACTCCCTTTAAATTCTGATATCTATTCTTTGGCCTTTTAGCACCAAATTCTCCCAGCTACCCCACCCCCACCTTCTGCTCATAAACCAGGGTGGGGCCTGGGATATCAAGTGCCTGGAGGACAGATCTGAGATTTCACGCCCCACCCCACCCTAGAGATTGCCCAACTGCCCCTCTCCTGTACCTGTTCCCCAGAAGGCCGTGGTAGTAGGCAAAATAGACCAAGGAGTTGTCATTCTGCTCATAGGAGGAGAGTCCATTGCCCACGGCCAGCCCCTGTGAAACACCCAGGGTGCTCAGATAATCTGGAGGTTGAGGAGGAGAAGCCTCTCTTGACCTACATTCAGACCTTCAGCAGTCCGGAAGCTGAAACCCAGGGTGGTTTGTGGGAGTGGATGGGTGGGGGATGCCATCCAATGTAAAGAACAGAGCTGGCAGCCTGGCAGGTGAGCTTCCTATTGTGGGAAGCACGCAGACTGAGACAGGGCAGCCAGTGGCACGGAGGTTATGGAGGAGGCTGAGTTGGATGGGGCTGCTGACCAGAATGACTTTGCTAACTGCAAGGCCACAGGTGGCCACAAGGTGCCTCCCTTCCCTCCCGCAGGGGCTCTGCACCTGAAGGTTTATGCTGGGATCCTGCATGACCAACACAGCCAGGGTGGGGATGTAGATGCCAGCATAGCTCTCTCCCGTCAGGAAAAATTTGTTGTTCTTGTACTCCGGAAAGAGGCGGAAGAAATCTTTAAGGGCCTCATAATTGCTCAGGGCAACCTGGGGATGACAGGATGGAGGGAACTGGGAGGCTTTGGTATTTGAGCTGGAAAGAACCTCAGAGATAATGACACCAACTCACACTGTTTGTAAAAGAGGAAGTGATTTGGCCATAACCATACCACACAGCTTGTGACAGCCAAAAAAAGGCTCTAAGGCCATGCTCTCTGTCCCCCATCATGCCACCTTTTATGAACCAGGGAGGTTGCAGTGGGTGGGCAGACACTAGACTCACCTCAGTGTCATTGGTCGCATAAGACTTGTCATCAGAGTAGGAGAAGCCCACCCCAGCTGGAGACTCAAGGTACAGCATGTTGGCAATCTAGAGGGGAGGAGGAAATGAGCTGAAGAGGGTCCCCAACCCTATCTAAGTGCCCAGTCACTCCCACAGGACCCGCAGCTCAAGGCTATACCAGGTTCCAAGAATAGGGATTGTACTCCAAGGTGACACCATCTGGCTGGATCTGAGGACAAAAGAGATGGCCGAGTAAGTCCCAAAGACCAAGTGGATGGAGGGAAAGAGCTAATCACTTACAAATGGGCAACCCCCCCCCCCTCCAGAGGTACAGATAAGTAAACCAATGGTACAGATGAAGAGATTAGGGCTTAGGAAGAGAGCTTTTTGGAAAAATGGCTGTCTTTTTCTCCCTCTTCCCCAGCCTTTTCCTCTGGGAATTTGCCCCTTCCCTCTCTCTCTGCTGAGTTAAGGGAGGAGAGAGCTGCTGTCCACTCACCAGGAAGGGACCGTGCTCTGTGAGTAACCCATCTAGGGAGCTGCAGCCAGGACCCCCGTTGAGCCAAAGCACTACAGGACTGTTCTCGGGATCCTTCTGGGACTCCACAAACCTGGGGGGTACGGGGTGGGTCAGGCAGGGTTGTTGCAGGTGGAGGGGCTCCTTCCAGCTCTTCCGGCTCCCAGGAGCCATCAGAGGTCTTCAGAAGTACCCCTTCCCGCCTCCCCCTCCTCTGGTCCCCCCGTGAGCTTCGCCGCACTCCTTCTCAACCCCGCCCTGGGAGGCAAGGCGCAGACCAGTAGTGGAGGTGCTTGGAGCCGGAACCTCTGAGGTGGCCGGAGAACTGGCGGAAAGACGGCTGCTTGGCCAACCCCGGGAGGCACTGGATCTCGTCCTGGGCGGGGGCTGCCTCGCCTCGGGGCGCCCAGGATACGAGCAGCAGTAGTAGAAACAGCGGCGACAGCGCGGCTCCGGCCATCTGCGGGAGGAAGCAGCGGGCGCCTGCTGTTTACGCGCTCTCGCTCCTCAGCGCTTCGGTGCAGCCCGCCCCTGGGGAGGAGCTGGCGGCGCATCTGCGAGGGAAGCCCCGGCCCCAGCCCCAGCTCCCACCCGCTGAGCCTCCTCCGCTGCGCACCGACCCGGGGCTCAGGGATCCCTTCCAGCCTCCGGAGTCCCCTCACCTCCGCTCCCCCGTGTCCGTGCTGTCCAGGAAGCTCCCGGAGACTGCAAGTCATGTGTACTCCGAGTCACGTGAGCTTCGGCGTCACGAGTCTTCCTCAGGCCCCCTGTTTGGTCTCTGAGGGCGCGGGGGGTGTTGGCGGTCAGTGCCGAGTCAAGGTCCGCGGGCATCGCAGGTCGTAGCCCTGGAGCCCACGATCAGATGATCCGGATTTAGACGGCCAGGTGCCCCCAGCTTCCCGGGGATCCCGTTCTTAGCTGGATCGCTGAGCAAGCGGCGCTAGGACCTCTGGGCAGAGCCTCGGGGCAGTCAGGGGGAAAATGGCCTACATGGTCCCCCTCCCCCCGCAGTCACCTTCTGAGCCCGCTGCCCAAAATAGCCCCCGGCGCCCGCTAGCCTGCCTTGTGGCCGGGAGATGGCTGCTGCCTCCGACCGCGTGGAGTTGGGTTCACCCTGGGAACCCACGCGCCCAGAGCCCCCTCCCACCCGCTTCCACTCGGTGCACGGTGCCAACATCCGCGTGGACCCCTCTGGGACGCGGGCCACACGCGTGGAGAGCTTCGCCCACGGCGTGTGCTTCAGTCGCGAGCCGCTGGCCCCGGGCCAGGTGTTCCTGGTCGAGATCGAGGAGAAAGAGCTGGGCTGGTGCGGGCATCTGCGTCTCGGCCTGACTGCGCTGGACCCCGCCAATCTGGTCGCCGTGCCAGAGTTTTCGCTGCCCGATTTGGTTAGCCTCGGCCACACCTGGGTCTTCGCTATCACGCGCCACCACAACCGCGTGCCCGGGGAGGGCCATCCGGAGGCAGAGGTAGCGGGCCCCCGCCGACCCCCGACCCTCCTGGTAGAACCATATCTGTGCATTGAGCAGTTTCGCATTCCCCGGGACCGCCTGGTGGGCCGCAGCCGGCCAGGGCTCTACAGTCACCTTTTGGACCAGCTCTATGAGCTGAACGTGCTGCCTCCGACCGCGCGGCGCAGCCGTTTGGGCGTTCTCTTCTGCCCGCGCCCAGATGGCACTGCCGACATGCACATAATCATCAACGGCGAGGACATGGGTCCCAGCGCCCGCGGGCTGCCAGCTGCCCAGCCCCTCTACGCAGTGGTGGACTTGTTTGCCTCCACCAAGAGCGTGCGCCTGGTCCAGCTGGAGTACGGCTGTAGGTATCCCGCCCCCTGGCGACCCCTCCTGGCTCAGAGTGGGTACAGAACCTGCTAGGACTCCTTAGCCGGCTAGCTAGGCCTTGGTCTGTCCAGCACTAGTTTAGAAGTGGAAAAATCTATCTTCAAATTGCATCTTTGCTGTGATCTTGCACAAGTCACTTCCTGGCTCTGAGCCTCTGTATCCCCATCTCAGCTAAGATGCCCTGCCACCCTTGCAGGCCAGCCGCCAGAAAAAAAAAAAAAAAAAAAAAGCTCTGCAAGTTCCCTTTTAGTCTTTCTTTTTTAAAAAATTTTTTTAGGGCCGGCCCGTGGCTCACTCGGGAGAGTGCGGTGCTGATAACACCAAGGCCCCGGGTTCGGATCCCATATAGGGATGGCCGGTTCGCTCACTGGCTGAGCGTGGTGCTGACAACACCAAGTCGAGGGTTAAGATCCCCTCACCGGTCATCTTTTAAAAAAAGATGACCGGTGAGGGGATCTTAACCCTCGACTTGGTGTTGTCAGCACCACGCTCTCCCAAGTGAGCGAACCGGCCATCCCTATATGGGGATCTGAACCCGTGACCTTGGTGTTACCAGCAACACACTCTCCCAAGTGAGCCAGGGGCCGGCTCCTTCCCTTTTAGTCTTGACAATGTTTTCTGTGTTAAGATAGGGCAGGGGGCTGACTGGTTAGCTCAGTTGGTTAGAACACCACCTTGTAATGCCAAGGTCAAGGGTTCAGATCCCCATACTAGCCAGCTGCCAAAAAAAGCACACAGAGCAGGGATTCTAAACAGTTTTTTGTTGTTGTTGCTGGCCAGTATGGGGATCAAATCCTGGACCTCCTGAACCTTGGTGTTTTAAACTAATTTTTAGATCTTAGGACTCTGAGAATTGTGTGCTCTTTTATTAGAAAAATGCTCATAAGTTTGGGCATATCAGTTTAGAGGCATCACAGACTCCAGACTGAGAGCTTCTTAATCCTGAGGTCTGGTTCATTATAGCCCCATTAAACCCTTTATTTATACCTCTGATCACATTTCATGAATTCAGTGAACTAGAACCTGCTCTGTGCCACATCTGTGCTGAGACTGCAGTTGCACATATAAATCAGGCACTACTCCTGCCCCCAGAAGCTGCTAAGTGAGGGGGAAGGGATTATGCTGAGTGTTATAACAGAAACAGGGCTGCAGCATTGCGAAAGTTCTCAGGAAGAGTGCTTATCTCAGGCACATTAATAGTGTCATGAAACAGGCTGGGTCCAGAGAGCAGAAAAGACTTGCCCAAGTTAATGGCAAAATTAACTTGGACCAAGTTAGGTAACAAGACCTACATCTTCTGGGTCTCAGCCTCAGACCTGCCCTCCAGTTCAGTTTGTCTTTGACAACTTTCTTTCCACAGTGCCATCCCTGCAGACTCTGTGCCGCCTAGTGATCCAGAGGAGCGTGGTGCACCGGCTGGCCATTGATGGGCTCCACCTGCCCAAAGGACTTAAGGATTTCTGCAAGTATGAGTGAAGTCCTGCAGCCACGCTGAAATAGGAGCACAGGAGTGCATCCTGGCCCCAGAGCTTTGGCTGGTCTGAAGCTGGCCACAGTGCTGCCAGCCAGGACCAGAAATAAACACAGCCCATGCTGACACTGATCACTGGAGGGTCTCTTTGCCCCTGCAGCCTATGAAAGGTACTTCTTTTAGAATCACTGCAGGTTAGCAGGTCAGAGCAAGAGAGCATTTTAGGCATCATCTAGACCAGTGATTCCTAGCCTGGCTACTCGTTAGAGTTATCTGGGATACTCAAAGAGTGCTTATGCCCCGGACCCCATGTATAGAGATACTCATTTGATTTGTCGGGGGATTAGGGCTATCTATTGTTTTTGGTAAAAACTCCTCTGGAGATTCTAATGTATAGCCAGGGTTGAGAAGCACTTCCCAAGAATAGAGGTTTCAACTTTGTCATATTATAATCACTTGAGGAACTTTGAAAAATAATTGATACCTGGGTCTGACCCAGGCATTCTGATTTAATTGGTCTTGGGATGAGGCTTGCCATCAGGATTTCTCAAAGGTCCCCAAGAGATTCTAATGTGCAGCCAGGGCTTGAGAACCAGCGCTCTAGACCAACTATTTCATTTTGCAGATGGGAAATTGAGGCCCAGAGATGAAAATATATTTGTCCATTGTCCAAGATCACACAGCAAATGATTGAATGCAGAATATTCCTTGTCTCACACTACAGGGAACAAAGTACTACACTCCTCTATTTGTATCTCTGATGATTTGCTTCCATACAAATGATCTCAGTTCATCCTCACAACTCCTAGTGAGGTAGTGGACAGTCATCAGCCCCACTTCCCAGATGAGGATATCAAAGAATAAAATTGTCCAGGTGACTTGCCCAAGGTAAGGGCAAGAACCTAGAACACCCTAGTCCTGGTCCTGTGCTCTTTTAACCCTATCATATTGTCAAATACAGGTTCTAGAATGAACAGGTCAGTGCTGTGAGGTGGGTTCCTGGTGTAAAAATGTGGGACTATGAGGTGACATTCTAGAAGGGTGGAGAGGGTGGGACAGGAGGCAGATAACTATTCCCTCACAAACAGGGGCTTTGGGGCAGCCATGTCCTACTTCATGTCTCCACAAACTCATCCAGGTCTTCTGCCTTCTGGCCAAGGTGAGAGGGGGGCTTCTGGAACTGGAGGGGGCACCACAACTTCCCCTGAGAAGTTGCTTTCTGGCTCTGGGGAGGTGGAGGTTGTGCTGGGCATTCTGGAGTCAATTTTCTTAGAAGAAAAGCCATTCCAAGGCTGGCCAGTTAGCTCAGTTGGTTAGAGTGAGGTGTTGATAACACCAAGGTAAGGGCTCCAATCCCCCTACTGGCCAGCTGCGCCACCCCCCCACAAAGAAAAACCATTCTAAAAGTCATTGCATCAATAACAACCCACATGCTCACTCATTTATTCAACAAACATTTCTCCATCACCTGCTCAGTTTGGGGACTGGAGGTATGGATATGAGTAACACTTAGTTCCCAACCTCTAGACAGTCCTCTTGGGCTGGTCTTAATTGCTCCTGCTCCTAAGATCTGCTCCTATGCCCTGCCCCTCAGGGCCTCCTCCTCGAAGAAACTAAGAATAACATCCCATCTCATTCCTGTCTCTGCAGGTGGGGCTGCTTCTCCAGGCTCGTCCCTCAGCCTCTATAGTCCTGTAGAGCCAGTGGTGGTGTCCTCTGGTGGACTGGGCCCACTGAGCCAGAAAGCTGAGCAGGTGGCACCTGCTGCCCAGGCCTGGGGCCCAGCCCTGGCAATGCCGGAAGCCAGGGGCTGCCCTGGGGGGGCTAGCTGGGAGACACTGCAGAGGAAGGAGTACAGCCAATACTGCCACAAATTCCCCCACACAAGGCAGCCAGAGAGCTTGGGCTGGGAGGATGGCTGCTCCAGAAACAGAGCTCCTCACCTGGGTAGCCCCAGCAGGTCTGGGTCGCTGCTGCTGTATGGGATATCACCAGGAATTCTGCCGCTGCCCTCTGAGGCAAGGGGAAAGGAGGCCAGCTCCCAGCCTGACATCTGCATCCTTACCTTGGCTATGATGATTGCTGGCATCCCCACCGTGCCCGTCCCAGGCCTGCGGGAAGAGGACCTGGTCCGGGCAGCTCAAGCTTTCATGACGGCCCATCCAGAGCCAGAGGGAGCTGTGGAGGGTGCATGGTGGGAGCAGGCACACGCCCATACAGCCACCGGGCAGATGCCCCTAGTGAGATCCAGGAGGGGCCAGCCTCCGGGCTTCCGCTTGTAGCTGGATGAAATAGCACCAGACACATAGGGTGGCTTCTCTGTATGGTTATTGGGCAGACAGGTTTGGGGGTTGGGGGGCCTATGGCAGGGATGGGGACAGGGTGGTGGTTGAGCTACTCTGACAAATTCCAGTCCTCCCTTAGGGTCCAGACCCCAGGAAGTTTCTCTAGATACCACTAAGACAGAAGATAGGTCTTGTCGGATAGATACTTGAAGCACAGGGGGCCCTGTTTGGAAAAGTAGAGGCTTATTATCACATTTGTTTTGAGGACTTGATCAAAATCTCTTGTATAAAGTCCTAGACAATGTGAATTTTCCTTTTGCCTTAAATTTCCCAGTCTGTTGAAGGCAGATGATAGGACCAAAGGCAAGGAAGGAAAATTAACACTTAATTCACCCACTGGGCACCTGGCCCATTACATGCCCATTCTTCCTTGACCTTACCAGCACTGTGGGCGTACCCATATTTACAGATAAACTGAAGTTTAGAGAGGCAATTTGCTCAAAGTTCTATAGCTTGTAAGAGGCAGAACCAGGCCACAGAAATCAGGCAGGGAAAGAACCATGATTTGAATGTAGTTTCACACTCCAAAGTCTATTCTTCCCATGATATACACTAAACCGTCTTCTACAGAACAAAAAACTAGACAAGTGCTTGAATATGCAACATTCAATTTTATTGACCCTAGGATGGGGCAGGGGGAAAAATGCTGGGAGCCTGGCTGAGCCACCTCCCCTGAGGGGCCTCTTCTTCTGTGGGAAGGCTCCCTCCCAGGCCAGCTCATTCACAGGAGATGGGTCAGGTGAGTCATCTCATGACTAGGGCAGCTGTTACCAAGCTCCAGCCCTCAACCTCACCACCCAATGTCTTATCTCTTATCTTAGACCAGTGGTCACCTGTTTTTTTAAGACCCTGGAGTTAAGAATGGTTATTTTATAAAAAGGTTATCAAAACAAAATCAAGAATATACAACAGAAACTGTATGTGGCCAAATTAAATCTTTACTGTTGGGCCTTTTACAGAAAAGATTTGCTGACTCCTATCTTACAGAACTAGACACATTCTAGGTAGCAGGCTACAGTAAAATAGAAGACACTTGTCCTTCTTAAATTCTGGATGGAGGGCCCATGGAAGTATAACAGTGTGAACGCGTGTATGCTTGTGTGCGGGTGGATGTGAATGTGTACACATGCATGAGCATCTCTGGGCATCAAGAGTAATCAGAGTTGGACCTGCTCATAAGGGCCGATCCAGCTGTCAGCCAGTTCCCGCAGGGTGCCGTACCTCCGCTCAAACTCCTCCTGGCTGCAGTGCTGCAAGAGCCGACCCACCTCCTCAGTGAGGAGAGTCACTGCCAGGTGCTTATCCAGGGTCTCACTCCACTTGCTGCCCAGGATGCCATCTAGACTGGTGGCACAGCCTGCTGTCCACTGAGCTGGCAGCATGTTGGGCTGGAGCACCTGCTGGCGAGCATTCAGCATGGCAAGTATGTGGCGGCAGGGTAGGTGGAAGGCCTGGTTAAAGTAGCAGCTGCAGCTGGCAGGGGGCTGGGGCTGGACCTTGTGGGTGTCTTCTAGTATCTGTATGTTCATCTTTTCTGAGCCAGAGCCAATGAGGTGCATGGATTTCTGGACCACAGCAAGCTCTCCCAGGCAGAGCTGGGCTGCTGGCCCTGTGCAGATGGCATTGAGGGAGTGCTGGATGCGGGATTCTACCACCTGTTCCAACTTGGGGCTCTCAGGGCTAGCATCTGAGGGGGCATGATTGTTTGGGAGACTCAGGCACAGGTTGAAGCTTGCCTTGTCTCCAGAGTTCTGCTGCATGTATCTGAACAGAGAGGCCATGCCTTGTTTCTCAAAAGGGGTGGTGCCAAAGAACTGGCTGAGGACACGGGTGGTAACCTCAAGGCTCTGGAAGTAGTGGCTGCTCTCAGCTCGGCTTCTCCAGCGGTGGGCCAGCCAGATGCGGTCGTTGAGCAGCCAGTGAGAATGGAGCTCAGGCAGCTGGGCTGGGGGGATGCAGTTGCTCAGGAGTATATACAACTTCCTCAAGTTGCCTGCCGTGGCTGAGCACATTGTGCTCTGCAGGGAAGTCAGTAGCACCCTTTCCACAGGCTGTTCGAGGGACAGCTGATAGAACTTGCCCTGGAGGAACTTACAAATGTGGAAGGCTGAGAGCAGGACCTCAGCTGTGGGGAACTCCATGGCCAGGGTGGGCAGTGGAAGGAAGTGGGGATCCACCAGAATGGTACAAACTCTCTCCCATGCTGGGTTAAACTTCTTGAACACTTGGAACATCTGGGCCAGGCCTTCAGCATCCTCCTTGGCAGGGATGGCAAAGTAGACTACCCGGGCAAGATGACCCTCCAGCTGCACCCGAGGTCCATCTACCAGGAAGGTATATAACACCTTGCCCCTTGGGTTATAGGTCCTATGGATAAATAAGATCTCGGGGAAATGGGCAAAGACACCCTGCATAAAGCAGCTCTGGAAGTTGAAGGTATCCAACTGGGGAGTCTTGCTAACCTGGTGCAGAAGCATGGGTGGGCTCAAGTCCTTAATCAGGAGCCCATTTAGCATTGTTAGGGCCATGGGGGAGACGGGAGATGGCTCGGTGCAGTAGTCAAAATACTCTCTTTGTGGGGGTGCTGTTGAGGAGGCTTTGAGTCTCTCAAGCTACAAGTAAGTCGAAGCTTGAAGCTGAACTGTATACGGTTCCCAGATCTTGTTCCCAAGATGGGCCTATGGAGAGGAATAGATGTTTAAGGAGACAGTAGAGACTTGGCTCTTCAATTACTCATCCAGACAATAATTATTGAATGAACACTTGTGTGTCAGCACCATTTTGGGAGAGATACACAATAAACATGTAAACAAATAAGCAAGGATATATTAGATAATAAAGGTTACAAAGACCACAAAACTGACTAACAGGTCAGAGAATAAGTTGGGGAAGGGAGAGATACTGCAGTTAAGGTGGTTAGGGAAGGCCTCTCTGTGAGTAAGGAGGATGAAATTGGAGCTAAGTCGTTAATGATAAGAAGCCAGACTTGGAAAGATACGGTTGCAGGGGATTTAAATAGGTGTGAAAGCCAGAGCTGCAAATAGCCTTTAAAAAAAAAAATAGCATTCTAAATATTTGCATAGCACTTTTTATTTACAAATTACTTCCTGGCATCCATTCTTTCCTTTGGTTCTGGTATATACGAGAGAACTGCAGTTGTCCCAAACTTGCCGTGTCATCTTGGGCACACCACTGACCTCTCTGAGCCTCAATCCCTTCCACCGTAAAATAGGGCTAACAATGTGCATAGCTTCTCCTGCCTCTATGTATATCCCTCTGTTAACTGCAATGCTCTATTCAAATGTGTCTTCTATTTGGCCCCAAACCGGGTTATTATCCACATTTTACAGAAGATAAACTAAGGCTCAGAGAAGTTAAGTGACTTGCCCACCATTATTCTATAAGTAGCTGGAAGCCGTGTCTTTGGCTCGGGATCCTGACCGCTTCCCACAATACCTGGGGTTCAAAAACCAGGAACAGAAAGGGCACGACTCTCACCTGGGTGGGAGATGTGAACGTCTGCCGTTCCTGTTCGGAGACCTGCCGGAGCCGGATGAGAAGTCAACCTTC